CTCCGCTGTGCTTTTCATCCTTGAACAGCACGTCAGTCAGGTGCTCTCTGAGGACTACAGTGGAAAGAAGGAAGAGAGAGTTATGGGGACAATGGAGAAGAGAAGGAGAGAGAGACAGACAGACAGAATGAAAAAGGAAGGGAGACAGAGTTTTGAAAGACTTCTAGCTTCCAAGCTGACTGTCATAGTTGTGCTTGCCAGAGGGGAGAGCACCTTTAAGCATACTGGATGAGAAGCGATGTGGAGGGACTACAAAAGCAAAGTAATACATAATAAGCAGCACAGAGTCTGCAGTGCTCTGCCAGCTAACCTACATGAGATTGGTGTGGAGCAGAAATTTGGAAGCGCTTAAAATGTCAGCAAAAGCCTCAACTGAAAGGGGCTTTGCCTTTACGGCACCCTGTAATGAGATTTAGACAGAGTGCATGCAGTTGTTGGTTTAGGATGATCGCCTTGACACATGGATTTCTATACATGAGGAACAAAAAAAACCCCAGTATGAGTGATGAATAAATATAAAGCTATAGCACAATAACTGAATACACATTTGTGTTTGTGGCCCTTGGCTCAAACAATAAAGCAAAGATCACAGAAACAAGCAGTTGAATCATGTTGCTGTTTCTTCTTTTGTACCACTTATCCTTTGACTGCTCTCTACCCTTATTAAACCCAAGAGGATTTTTTTTTTCATTATTCTCGCCTTGATCCTAAAGGAAAATCTAGAAATGTGCTGTTTGAACACAACGTCCTGTGGTTTGTTTTGTTGCACCACCCAGAGCTCAAACATTAGGGTATTTGAGCCCACATTGACATGCAGCCAGACCTTTTCTTTTGCCAAAACTAACTGTATCCTCGCCGGGATGGATTGTGGAAAGAAAAACGCGCTGCCTGTTTTGTTCTTTCCTCTTAGAGCTACAAATGCTCACAGTAGAACAGGTCAAACCAGCATTTGGTTACTTTCTAGTGCTTAAGAATGATCAGATGCACTCCAACGCTTCCTTAGTTAAGTTAATAGGCGTCTATACTGCTGATAATAACTTGGTAATCAGAGACCGAACATGAGCAGGAAGAGTAATGGGGTTCTCTGCATGCTTCCTTCATCCAGCTCCTGCTTTAAAATGCAGGCCAAGTCCTTGTAGTAGTCACTTCATTATCTAGAAATTATAATTATGCCCCCAGTGGAAGCTGGTTGCACCGAAATGTAACACAGACCTCGTTCAGGTCCACAAACGACTGAATCCTGACGGTGGACAAGATGCATTTACAGTGCCTTGCTAGAGCATTTATAGTCTATTGTTTTACATTTTTATTGACCTAAACCAACAAGTTGCATTGGAAATTTACTTCAAAGACATACACTTGATAATGCATAACTGTGTAGTGGAAATGTATGAATAAGTTGATTTTGTAGCATTTAAAAACATATTTTCATATGCAAATCTGAAAAGTGTGGCTTGCATTTGGATTTAGCTCTCTTTACACCGATGCCGCTGATAAAAATCTGTTGCATAGATTTGCTAGAGAACATTAGGTAAGAAATCTGTGGAGAATTCAGCTTTTTGCCATGCATGTCATAAATCTGTCTGAAAGACATTTTAAAACAGATATTCTGCTAAGATGAAAATAAAATGTGACTTACCTTTTACCTAAATAAAGAACCAACACCAAAGATTTACTGAAACACAATTGAGACTGTGAAACATGGTGATAAGAGAATCACATTGTGGGGATTCAACTCTGTTCAAAAATATTTTATTGATTCCAAAGGGAAATGGAAAGGTTGCCTTTATTCTCAAGGCCAGGTAATCGTAGAACCAGAGCTGCAACTATAGGAGCCTTTTTTATTTAGTTTAATTACATTGGTTTGGTGGCTGTATTTGGTTTGTATGTGAATCGTCTCTCTGACCTAAATTTTTGCTCTAACAATGGTGTCACTGTGGGTGAAATCTATACAAGTGTCAAGGTAAGGGCAATGTGGGAAGAGTGTGGGGTGGTCACGCATTTTTTTTTTTTTTTTTTACTTTGTATAGAGATCATCAAATTGCCTCTAATTTTGGTCACTTCTGGGTAAACCAGTAGCACCACCCAGGAATCTGGATCGCATTCAGTATTCAGTGTGTGCACAATAAATGGGTGCATTCCCTAACTTATCTCCCAGTCTGGACATTGCATATTGAGCATGTTGGCACCTGGATTTCCTGCACCCAGAAGCGATCAAATTTAGAGGCAAATTGATGGTCGCTACAGCAACTATTTGAATAAAGGCATTTTTATTCGTCACAATGGCATGGTGAAATTCCAGACCTATAATAAATAGACAATCTGTAACAGAACTTAAATGTATTCACACGGTCACTTTCCATCAAATCTGACAGAGTTTTATTTATTCTACATAGAACATTGGTGAATAATCTGTCCTCTAGATGTTCTAAGCTTTTAGTAATATAGCTGGAAAGATTCCTCAGTAAAGTTGGGTGTAAAAATGACTCAAGGGGCCTGAACAGAAATGTAAACCAAATTTCAGACTATTTGTAAAACATGTTGAAAATTCTGAGTCATGTCACAGTTATTTACCATTACAAAACATTCTACCGAATCTGATCCCCCAAAATATAGAGGTTTATAGCTTTAACAAGGCAATGTTGATTTTTTTCCAAGATGTAATGAAGCGTTTAACACCACCTCCCTCTGAAGAGGAGCAGAAAGAAGTCTTTTAATTTCATGTTTTTACCTTACCATTACATGCGTCAAAGAGGGAAGATTGTGGCAAGAAAATAAAGATGCTTTTAAGCTCTACATTCACAGAGAATAGGCCTCGAACTTGCACACACAAAAACATCTCATGTTGAGTTAATGAGCACATTAGAGGATAAATGGCCACTTAGTTCTGCAGCAGATTTTCAAGTGTGCTATAGGGAGGACCGGCGAGCGCTTTTTACTGCAAATTATCATTCCAATACAAAACCTTGCTGAGTAGATGGCACATTAGGATTGGACGTAAACACACGCAGAGGGGTTTAATCAAACTGAAGCTGAGCTCAGTGTTTAAATGTCCAAAAACAGAAGCCCAAAGTCTTTCCGCATTACTCATTTCCTGCCCTACCTTTGACCACTGTGTTTGCTTGGGAGGAGCGGAAAAAAGTGACCCCAGCTCGAATTGTTTGTCATGTCAGATTGGTTTGTGTTTTCTTTTTCTCTCTCTCTCTCTCTCTCTCTACTGAGCAAGAGGAAGGGATTTAGTCCACGAAATTCAGGTCAGACACAGAGATTAGTCAGACCCGATCCGGCCAGGAAAACATCCAACATGCTGATTAGATGATGCTGTTCGTGATTAAAGATGAAGAGAGACAAGGCAAAGTTATTCCTTTTCTTCAAAAAGTAATTTGTATTATAGCTGTTGTGTAAGGATACAGTACAAAGACACAAAACAATCTGTGTAAATACAAAAATCCACTAAAGTGAAAAGAAGAAAAAAAATCCAACATGAAAAGAATATTAAATGTGAGAGCTTTGGTAAATATAAATGAATCGGCTTGAGGAGCCTGCGGGGATGATTTTAAACTAGCAGATTTAAACTATCCCTGAGATGTGGATGGACTTGAAAAATGCCATAAAAAGACAATTAAGAGTCAACTCCTTAGAGGGAAGGGATTTACTTCAAAGCCTTTCAAATTGATGTGGTCAAATGGGTCCAAAAATTAGAAAAAAAATAAAAAAATCTAGCAAGTCATGTAAGAATGAAAAAGAGTTAATTAAAATGGCCTGAAACCACAACAGTCACGTTCCTTTTGTCCCTAATCGTCAATAATCAAGTGCATAGAGCTTCACTGAGCGTTACCTAAGAGAAAAAGAAGTTTTTGGAGTTTTCTCAGTGCTGTTTTCTTTGGCCGAAACTGCTGAAGAACTTAAAAGTTTCAACAATCTATCTGGGAAAGCGTAGCACTTATTACATGGCTCAATTTCCAATTCTCTCACAGGTACACACATTCACAAACAGAATACTAAAAGAGTCCCCAACACAAAACGATCTCCCAGACAGAGCTGGTGATACAAAACAAGGAAGGACATCCATTATCATGAGAGCTTAGGGAGAGATAGGTGTAACTATTCATATGCTGCTTAAAGAGAGAAGAAACAACATGATTCAGTCCATTAAAGGACTCCCCGCTCCACTGGAGCAGAGGTGGCTGCCTTCATCATTATGTGGTATGGAGTAGCTGCTCCACAGACAGGAGCTCCAGGCCATTATGCCACCCCAGAGCGAGGAGCTCTAATTGCGGCAGGAGAGCTCAATCAGACGCCGTGTTTGTCTCTGTGATATTTTCTGCCTGACCTGATACTCCTAGCAGCCATTCTTTCATCTGACTGCTTGTGATGGGCTCAAACAGCAGTCAGGCCTCAGTGTCTAGAATTCCCCGCCAGAAAAACTTTGCACCTTGTGCCACAATGTGGTATTTATTTCCTGCATCCAAACAGTTCTAGTCATTCGCCAAGTTGCAGTACAAACACATTCCTTCTTGTTTGTAGTCCTTCCTGTGACTCTCATATTTTACATTTGTTGTCGTGGCCAGAAACCAGACCATTACAGTCAACAGCAGCCCTTGAAAAAGAAAAGGCTGGCTTCTCCGCAAAATGCATTTCAGCGCCTGGTGGCGAGAGAAAGGGAAACTGCAGGCTAAGCAGGATTACCTGACTGTGCTTCACACGGTGTCACATAGGCCGATGAGAAAACAGTACAGCGCTTGTTGGGAAATGAGTGCAAACACTACTTGAAGAGGAAAATTAAAAACAATCCTTCGGTGCATGTTTCTAAAAGACACCTAGCATAGGTTATGCCTGTGCCTTGCTTTATGCATTTTAATGAGAGAAAGCATGAAAAAAAAGGGTTTTAAGGCACAGTTGTCCAAAATATACTAACAAGAGAATAGTTTTACATTCATTTATATATATATATATATATATATATATATATATATATATGTGTGTGTGTGTGTAAAAACACAAAAAGCAGCTGGAATTTAAAGCTGTTAGGCAAAGAAATAGTCTTTGGACAAACAAAGCAAGGGAATATCAGTACAGTAACATCTACAAACCAACACATGTCAGTACAAATGTCTGATTGTCACCTTTACAATGTGAAAAAAAAAAAAAAAAGTCAACAATAAACTCCAAGAAAGAGCAGAGGTAGGTGACCAGAGGTCAGAGGCTCCCTTCATCTAGCATCTTGTTGAGGCCATTGCAGATCCTTTGCAGGTAGGCCCTGTAAACTTCCGAAGGCCCATACAGAGCTGCAAGGAAGTCGCAGTCGGCAAAGTGATTGAAGACGTGGTTGACCCGCGAGTGGCTCTTGGCGGTCAGGTGGCGTCGGATGGCCTGGTGCAGGAGCTCACGGCAGTCGTTCAAAATGCTACTCATGACTCTCCGGTCGAAGGTGAACTCGATTTGGTGAAAGCTGACGGCGGTCATGGCCAGAGTGTGCACTTTCTTCCTACAAGGATGAGAGCAAGAGAGCTCTGTCAGTTTCTACACCCCAGCAGCAGCAGCAAGAGAGAAGTAAAAAATAGAAAGTGCTGTCTTGTAGTTTTCTGTAGGAAACTTTCAGCCCTCCCCCAATTAGTTACAGCAGTGTCCTGCACAGCCACACATCTCCCAGCAAATACAATCCTTGTTCTACAGACTGTGCACTTATGTCAGCTTCACAGGCCTCTGACTTTTACTGTTTTAGAGGGAAATATACAAAGTGATGTAAAACTCAATTTCATGAAGCTGCTTCCATCAGCACATAAGAAACTAAATCTCTCTCACTGCAGTTTTTTGTCCCTTTTGCAAAAAGCTCCAGCCTTATAATTTTGCAGGGTTTGTCAATATCTGACACACATTACTCTTAGTCAGGGATACCCAAATCACAGAACCCAACAAACACATATCTGGTCACGAGGAAGAAAGAGAAGGATCAGTAAAGGTTTATTAGAATTAAATTCATTTAAGCCATGTAAAATAATACAGGGGTTCCCTAAAATGAAACCATATTACTCTGAGCTAGTGATTGACCAAATCATCAGTCAAACATCATGAGAACATTGTTATTCAGCTTTATAAAAGGAGGCTGCATGGTCTGTTTAAACCTCAAGCATCTCCTTCGCTGTCCATTTGACTGCGGAGTAGTCAAATGTAGGGGGGGGGGGGGGGGTTTGGGGGTATGTGGCAAGAGGAGGATATAGGGGGAAATAGATGACTGGATCTGATGAGGGGTGCAGACTAGAATAGCTTCTGTTTTCAGTTGGAGTAGATTGGGTTTGTATTTAGGCTCTCCTCCCTCCCTTCCTTCCACTTATGAATTAAAGGGGAGTCATGTCATTTTATGATGGGTAATAACTCTTGTGTAAGACATCCTGAGCTTTTCATATGTGACCCCTTTCCTTACCCACAGCAGAAAATTGCCCATTAAAAAGGTTACTTAATGCACTTGATGCATATTAAAAAGCAAAGGAAACACTAGATCAATAGCCAATTGACTTGTTCTAACTTCTCTAACGTTACAGCTACAAAGCTGGAAGATCTGCCCTGTTCCAACAGATGAGCAGCCGACTGTCTGTATTTGACGATTACAATAGATCTAAAGTCAAATGTTTTAAGGTTAACAGTTCAGTTCAAATAGTGAAATCTTAGTTTTCTATCTATATTGTCTGATTTTGAATGTTTCACACTAAAATGAGGCTAAGCATCAAGGATAACAGGAATAAGGTGGATAAGCTCTTAAATAACTGAATCTCTCTTGCAACATGCTTAATGCACTGTTTAATATTGTTACTAACCTCACAAAGAGCCCTTATATTTGCTTAACTGATCATTGTTATGTTATAAATATTTATATCATGAAAAAAGTAATACATCCATGTTTAATTAATCCTCCATCTGCAAGCAGGCACTATGCTAATATTAACTATAAATAATGGATTTCTTATGTAAATTATTTTGACCCATTATTTAACAAAAACAAAGAAAATGTATTATATTGTACCACTTGTATAATAAATGAAGTAGAGAAAAAAAATAGAAACCAGTAAATTGCTCCATGGATACATGAAATATTTTTACTGAATGGCGGACAGATTTTCTTGCAAAAATATTTACGACCCTTCCCACATTCTGTGATGTTACGATCTTATCCGACTGAGAATAACAAAGAAGTACATAACTGGGAATTGGAAAGAAACTGACGCAGTACATAACTTTTTATTTTGTCAACATACTTAAACCCTGTGGCCGTCTGCCAAACTGACAGGCAGTTCGAGGAATGCAAACATCAGAGAAGCAGCAACAAACCATGTAGGGAGCAGAGAAATCTGCAGAGGAAGGTGTCCTGGTCAGATGAGACCAAAACTGCACTTTTTTATCCAAAATTTAAAACGGTGTGTATGGCAGGAAGTCAACCTTGAGACTTGTTGGTTGCAGCATTGTGTTGCTGGGATAATTCAGTTCAGGATGGATAGAGAAGCTGGTCAGTGTGGAGGGAGAAGAGCTAAATAAAGGTCAAAGCTGAGAGAAAAGATCTAAAGGCTGCTAATAGAGATTAAACCTAGCTGGAGCAGCTCATAAAATACAACCAAAAGAAAATTAGGTTGAAGCATATTTATGTGATAAACCTGTCCTAGATCCAAATAAGAACATGTGGTGAATATAAAAAAAAAAAAAAAAAATTGCTTAATTTGTTTGCAAAGAAAAATAACATGACTCTAGATGTGCAAAGATGGCGGATCCTAAAGCAGCAAAGCAGTGCGACGCGAGAAAAATATTGTAATCTCATTGCGGCGGGAGAGAGAGCGCACAGTGCAGGTGCGGAAGGGAGCGGTGCTAAGTGGCAGTCCGGCAAACTAAAAATGTGTTTGAAAATGTAAAATAAAGTCATAAATTATTAGTCTATGTCTGTCATATATATACATCACAATGTGCTGGGCGGGGCTCCATCATACGGCGTTTAAAATTATTAATTATAACTTATTTTATTTTTATTTCATACGAACATATGACAGGAATTGCCTTCAGCAGTAGGCGAACGACGGAATCATGCGGGAATTGCGGGCGGGAGCGGGACAAACTATTACAGGTGTAAATCATAATTGCATAAAAATCATAATTCTTTGCGGGAGCGGGGCTGAACACTGCGGGAGCTGGACGGGAAAATCTGTCCCGCACAGGTTTCTAGTTGTAGCTGAAATGAGACAGTGTAGTAGGATGCAGGGATGTGTCTTGCAATCAGAGGGTCGCCGGTTCAAAGCCCAGCCCCGTCCATGTTAGGCGTCGTTTTTACTGATGGGGGGCAGCCTCATCTCTGTCAGCGAGATCCAGGAAAGCTGTGGCTAAAATGTGACACAACATAATGCAAAGCACTTCGGAGTCCTTTAACTTAAAATTGCTCTGTATCAGTTCAGATCATTTACCAATAAATCTTGTAGAACATAAACAAAAAACAAACTTTATGCATTATTTTATATCTCCATCTCACCTGAAGTTTTCCACCAGGATCAGCTCCTCGCTGTTGAACTGGTTGTTTCTGTAAAGCACTCCCAGCTTCACCACCATCTTGATCAGGTTTTTGATGATCTTCTGGGACTCTTTGCGGTTGCGAGTGTACTCCTTAGTGACACGGTACAGCTCGTCCAGCACTTCGCTGCTGGTGTCATCTATGAAAAGGTTAGCCACACTCTTTGTTGCCATCTTGCTCATTAGCTTCTTCTGTGCCTGTAGGGCCAGGCTCTTGGTGCTGAAGGTGTCCATGGTCAAGTCTAGGTCAGGGTGATGCCAGGGGGAAAGAGCAAAGAGACGACAGCAGCCTGGTTAATGGTTATATCCAACAGGAAGCATATCAACTTACAGGACATGTCTATAAAATGACTGTTTGCTCACTTGTGCTCTGCAGTTGACACAAAATTAGAAACTAAAGCAGGCTTTCCTTAAACATCCTGTTTGACTCTGCATTACCACGACAGCCTGCAACATGTGAGGTTGTTGCAAATAACATTTAAACTGATAGTGTTTTAACTGCAGGGCCAAAAGTGTCGTTTTATCAGATAATGAGCCGAGGCAGCTGTCAAATTAGTGCCGGCACCCCTCTGGCCTGGAAGAATATGTCCTCGTGGGTGTGGGAGTAAAGTCACTCAAAGCAGGACCAGGCAAAGCAGGAGGTGTAATCTGGACGTACAGTCAGCCTGAACCCGTCCAGGGAACAGGGTGCACATTTGCATCATACCGAGCTGCAGACGCAGAGAGGCCAATCAGTCTCTGCATGAATTTATGGGTGGTTTTCTGTGGGATTCTTTGTGTTTGTGCGCCAAGTGAGGTGACTCAGTGACAGGCTGCACACATGATAAAAGGTCATGAATAGAGGGAAGTGAGGGGTCAGACCCTGCAAGTATGAACATGAGTCCATGCATATTTCAATAAATTAAATAGGCATTAAAAAGATGCCTTATTTCGGTTTGTCAATTCAACAAGGAAGGAAAAGAGGTGACCTTGCGATGGTAATAAAGATGATAGGAGGGAAAGCCATTTCAAGAATTTGTGGGAATACTGCTGCTGGAGCCCCTGTTTAAATAGCTTCCACACACAAAGGTATCCATGAACCCTACAATCAACAGCTACAGGATGAACCACTTTAGGTCCAATATTAAGTATCCAGCCAGTGAT